TAGCTTGGCAAGATCTCAATGCCTGGGAGCGGTTCCTGATGGATGAAAGAGAGTTCCTGGCCATGTGTCTGGAATGGGATCAAGAGAGAGGACATTTAAAATTAGAGGAAGTTCAGGCCAAACCTAATCCAGTATTACGGTCCATTTGGATTTCTGAAATTTATATGCCAATGTACTCTGCCATTTAAACTGTATTTCTTGATGTTGTTAAGAAATCCAGTAAAGAAACAACAAACTGGCCTTGATCCTCTTTTTCCCAGGTTGTCTCAGACATCAATTAGCTTATTCCTCATTGAAGCCACAAGTTTCATAACTCATAACCTGTAATTGTTAACATTGTGTTCCTGTAAGCAAATAATTACTAATGGAGCCTCAGTGAGCTTCTCTGTCTTTCCTTGACCTGGTAGGTCTGTGCCTTTGTGGAATGATGCAATTCCATATGCGGCTCCTGAGACCCTGTCCACCTGTGCTAGCAACTTTTAATTGCAACTACCAAGAGGTCAAAGTTTTCTATTGATGCTTCATGTCAGGGAGAGGCTGAAGACTTGACCCAAATTTGGGGAAGTGTGGTGCCATCACTGTGGTCACCTCATGGTCCTCGTGTGCCATGGTTTATGTGTGCCTTCTGAAAAATAACCCCCAATTTCTCAGAGTTCTGATAGGCTGAGCTAAGGCGGAGGTGTTGTAACTTCCATTGCCTTCCATCCTTCCATACATTTATCCCCCGTTGGCAAAGGCTGACCTCAGACCTCACTTCCAATTTGGACATGTCCAGTGGTTCTTGGATGATAATCTAGCCTCTAAGTGACCAGCACAGGGGCAGGGTCGATGATGACGCGGGAATCCTGGCATTGCAGGGCACAGGGCTCGTTGCAGCTGTTGGCCAGTGGGGTGGGTCCACAGGGACGGCAGAGGCTGTTGCAGGCCATGAGTGTGGTGTGGAGGGTGCCTGGAAGAGAGAGGGGTGTATGGCATGGTAGGGGTTTTGGGTGGCACAAGGCGTGGTGATGCAGGAGGGTGAAGGAGTGTGGAGGCTGTTGTGGGGCTGTGGGGAGGTGTGATGTCTGCTGAGGCTGGGGGTGACCATGCTGCAAGATAGGGGCCACGGGAGTGGGAGCAGGAGGGTCAGGGGCTTGAGACTTACCTGGCTGTCAAGAGGAGGAGAAGGCTTGAGGTGAAGTGTGTGAGGGAGAGAGGCTCTGGGCCGGCTTTTATGCTGGTCCTGGATGGGTGGGACATCCTTGTTGCCTTGGGCAATTTTTGAGGCAGCATCTCTTGACTGGCCCAGCCTGCTGAGTCATGAGGTGGGGAGTGTTTTTCTTCATGCAATTCTGCAATTTTGTGTTCTTCCCTTGAGGCTGTGTCCATCTGACCTTGGAAGCACATCTTAATTGCTAGAACTGATGACCATTATCTCATTGTTTATGGTGTGTTTGGACATGTAAAATACTCAGCCGAATCTTAGGGTAATTGGGGTGTTTTCAGTAAGGTCATATCATGGCATATTGATGACTTCTCCTATTTTATTCTTATTTCCTGTGTGAAAGAACTCCCAGTTTTCTTGCATTGTTCTCATTTTGAGGTTACCCCAGTCCAGTCAATGTCATGGTGTCTCTGCAGCTCTCTCTGTCAACCATTTCCATGTCCTTGTTCCACCAGGGATCCCTACCAGTGGTGGGGACCAGGACAGTCCACTCCCTCAAGCTTTCTAATGCTCAGGCACATGGGTTTCAAGGGTGGATTAATTAAAGGATGGGGAACTGTGCTCCTCACGTGTCTTGTTCTCCTTATTCTTCAGCTTTTTTCCTTTCCATGGGTCCATCACAGTCTAAAACTGGGACCCTCCAGTGTGACCTTGCTGGTCACAGCTGAGATGAGCGTTATGGATGAACCAACTCAAGACTTTGGTGTGCATGGGAGGCCATCATGGAAGATATGGACCTGCTGAAGCAGAGCTGTAGACGACCCTGGAAGATGATGGGGGTCTGGAGCAACTGGTGTCCAGAGAAAGTGAAAACAAGACTCATACATGGCTTCTATAAGAGACAGGGATAGACCTGCATTCCTGTATCCAGGTCTGGGATCAAGCAAGTGAAGTCTGGAATGCAATGGAAAGGCAAAGTGTGCCAGTGTGTGTCAGTGAAAAAAGGAGACATCTGAGTCTGTAATGCAAGAGAACTTTATTGAGCTAAAAGAACAGGGAGGTCATGAGCATTCACTGGAAAAGAGAAGACAAGTAGGGGTGCAAGAAGTGTGACCATCAGCCAAGCTTCTTTGCTTGAAGGAGGTTCAGCCAGAGCACCAAGGCCTTCCTGCCCCACAGTGGGAGCAGCCCAGTGGAGGTACTCAACTTCCTCTGGCTTGAGAGAAGGGGTTTATCCAGAGGGGACTGGAGAGAGCAGAAGGGACAGTGCAGAGCAGGAGGAAGATGGGCCATGTTTGCAGGCAGTGTGGGCTGGGCCCTTGGCTGCTGCCTTGATGGAGGCCCTGAGAGTAGAAGCCGAAAATGCTGAGACCCTTTGACAACCTTTGCCCAGAGATGAATCTTCAGTGCTTAGGGTGGGTCCCAGGGAGTGGGTGGTTGGTGTCAGGGGTGGTGCCAGAGCTGGCCCCTTAGCAGTTGTAGCCATAGCCCCTTCTGCCATAGCAGCCAAGGCCTCCCAGACCATAGCCAAATCCATGGCCATAGCCACCAAATCCAGCAGAGATGGGCTGTCCCTGCACACTGAGCTCAGTGCCCACGGCAGCGGAGGAGGTGGATCCGACGGCAGTGTTCTGGGGGAAGGAGGTCATGATGGGTCCTGGCAGGGTGACCAGCACAGGGGCAGGGTCGATGATGACACGGGAATCCTGGCATTGCAGGGCACAGGGCTCGTTGCAGCTGTTGGCCAGCGGGGTGGGTCCGCAGGGTCGGCAGAGGCTGTTGCAGGCCATGGCTGTGGTGTGGAGGGTGCCTGGAAGAGAAAACAGGTGATGCAGTTCAGGGGTGTGAGGGTGTGAGGGGTGGTGATGCAGGAAGGTGTGGGAGTATGGAGGCTGTTGTGGGGCTGTGGGGAGGCGTGAGGACTGCTGAGGCTGGGGCTGAGTGTGCTGGAAGAGAGGGGCCAGGGGTACAGGATCAGGAGGGTCAGGGGATTGAGGCTCACCTGATTGAGGGTCGGAGCAAGAAGAGGAGGCGTGAGGAGAAGTGTGTGAAGGAGAGAGGCTCTGGGCCGACTTTTATGCTGGTTCTGGAGGGGCGGGACAGCCTTGTCCCATGGCCTTGGGGCAATTTTTAGGCTGCAGCTTTTGTCTGGCCCAGCCTGGTGAGTCATGAGGTGGGGAGTGTTTTCTTTCCTGTGACTCTTCAACTCCATGTCCTCCACTTGAGGCTGTTACCATTTGAACTTGGAGGCAGCTTTAGAGTGAGAATTCATCTTTGGGTAGATTTGGTTGTTAGATACATGAATGTGAATGTTGAATAACAAGCAGAGACCAGTGGAGGTGCAATGTCATCAGTGGGCCTTGTATGATGTGGTTTGTGGGTGCTTTGTGAAGACTGAGACTCTGTTTTGTGCTGCTGGATGTCCATCAGTCATTGTGTTTCTCAAAGGAATGCTGAAGGAGCTGATGATGTCCTGGGAATGTCACTGTGCAACAGATTGGTAACGTCCCAGTGTCTAGGAGTTTTTCCTGATGGATGAAACTGGGCTCTTGCTCTTGTTTCTTGAATGGGATTGAGAGAGGATCTTGGACAGTAGAGGTTGTTCAGGCTGCACTTATTCCAATGTTATAGTCCGTTTAGATTTCTAAAATTTACCCAACAAGCCTCTCTATCATTTAAAGCATATTTCTTGATTTCATTTAGAAATCCAATAACCAACAACAAATCCAGGTCCATCCCTTTTTTCCCAGCCTGGTTTGTGACGTCAATTTATTTATTCTGTATTCAAGCCAAAGAGTTTCATAACTTATATCCTGTAAATGTAATATTGTGTTGCTATTAGCAAAAAGGAGTAATTACTAATGGACAGTTAGTGAGTTGCTCCTTCCTTGTCTGTCATGGTGCTGGCGTTCCTTTGTGTGATTCTGCAATTCCACATCCTTCTCTTGAGGCCGTGTCCATCCGACCTTGGAGGCAGCTTTTATATGTGATTATTAGAGGTTAAATGTTGATGGTTTATGTCACAATGGGTTGAAGATGTAACCAAAGCTTTGTGGAGATGGGTTATCATCAATAAAGTCACCCACGGCACTGGTGTGCTGTGCTTTGTGTGTGTGTGGTGAAGAGGAGCCCCATTTCCTGGCAGAGCTTTTCACAGAATTCAGAGAAATCACACAATCATTGAGCTGGAAGAGACCTTCAACATCATCGAGTCCAACACCTGCCTTAACTCCTCAACTAAACCATGGCACCAAGTGCCACATCCAATCTTGTTTTAAACACATCCAGGGATGGTGACTCCACCACCTCCCCCGGCAGACCATTCCAGTACTTTATCACTCTTTCAGTGAAAAAAATTTGCTAATATCCTACCTATATTTTCCTTGAGACTGTGTCCTCTTGTTCTGTCAGAACCTGGGGAAAGAGACAAACCCTCACCTGACTACAACCACCTTTCAGGAAGTTGTAGAGTGATAAGGTCACCTCTGAGTCTCCTTTTCTCCAGGCTAAATAACCTCAGCTCCCTTTTTTATGCTGCTCTAAGCTTTGCAGCTGTTCTGGGGGTGAGCATCTGCCCCTTTGATCACGTTCTCTTCCTTCCTACCTTGGCTGCATCTCTCCAGTCTTTTGTCTATATTCCTGGCCTTTGCCATTGGAGATGGGAAAGCAATGCATGTGACTTAGGGAGGTGTCCTGTGCTCCTCACAGTCTTGTGTGGGTTCATCTGTAGTGCTCTGGGCCAAGCAAGGTCAAAATGTGGGGTCCCATTGCTGGGCTGTGACTGACACATGGAAAGGAAACCTCGTGGAGGATAAGGAGAAGAAGCAGCATGAGGGGAACAATTACTCATCCATTGGTTAGTCAACCTTCAAACCCATGTGTCTGCAGTTTAGAGATAAGGATGTCCTGTGGGACTGGTTTAAGGCCCTGACAGAATTCCAGGAAAGTGACACTGGTTGCTATTCCCTTGTCAAAAATAGCATTCGACATTGTGCTCCTGATGGAGCATAAATGGATCATGAGGTGGCCATGGACCCTCTGAAGGGTAAAAAGCTCCAGCAATTACCAGGAAGGAATTAGGAAATATGTAATAACAAAAGTAATAGGAGGAAGATGAGGAGGTCGACTGTCTTGTTGTGCACCACTGGTGAGGCTGCAGAGTGCAACAAGGACATGGACATGTTTGACCAAGAGCAGTTCCAGGAGACCAATGGGACTTAAAACAAGGAGAAGTCAGCAGAGCCGAGGGCTCTTTCATGCAGAAGGAAATAAGGCAGATGGGACATGATTCCATGGTGTGTCCTCATTGATGACACATCAGTTGTCCTCAGGGTTGTTTGAATTTTCTACGTGTCCTGAAAGGCACCAGCAACAAGAAAATGGTCACAAATTCTTGCGATTAAAAACTGCCGCCAAGGTCAGATGGACACAGCCTCAGGGTCAGGACATGAAATTGCAGAATTGCATAAAGGAAAACACTCCACACCTCATGACTCATCAGGCTGGGTCAGACAAGAGCTGCTGCCTCCAAAATGCCGCAAGGCCATGGGACAAGGCAGTCCCGCCCCTCCAGAACCAGCATAAAAGCCAGACCAGAGCCTCTCTCCTTCACACACTTCTCCTCACGCCTTCTCCACCTACCCTGCCGACAACCAGGTAAGAACCAATCCTCTGACCCTCCTGCTCCTTCAACCCTGGCCCCTCTCTTCCAGCACGCTCAGACCCAGCCTCAGCAGCCCACACGCCTCCCCACAGCCTCACAACAGCCTCCACACTCCCTCACCCTCCTCCATCTCTGTCCCTCACACCCCCATACCCCTTCCCTGCCTCACCCCTTCTCTTCCAGGCAC